ATAAAACTATGAAGAATAAACAAAAAGAAGTATATAGAAAAGTTTTATTAGAGTTGTAGGATCCAATATTAAAAATAATCAAAATCATTTCTGGTTTTAGAGAAGTTAGCATGGTAATAACTAGGGTTGCAGGTGAATTAAAATTCTAATGGTGCATCACTTTTCACCAATCACCAATCACCAATCAGCACTGGTGATACTGGTGTTACTGGTAGTATTGGTGATACTGGTGGCACCGGTGGTGCTGGTGATACTGGTGGTGCTGGTGATACTGGTGATGTTGGTGATAATAATGTTTAATAACTTCAATTTCTATCGTCGTTGATGAGATGTTCTTGACAAAAGTAATTTAATTTTTTAATAATGAGTAGAACATCATCGAATTGCTAGACCAGATGACTTTATGAATACATGCTTAGAATGAGCTTTAATGGTTTGCTGTGTTAGTCTTGCTTGATCAGGTTTTTCTTGGTTAAGTTTATGATCGTTAAGTGGTGAACAGATATGAATGTTAACAAATTAGTGCTAAAGTAAAGGAGTATTTTCATATTGTTTCAAGTGTGAATCAAATTGGCGGGATGGAGAGAAAAAGTGTAATGTAGTGTATTTATGGGTGATTTTTTTAGTAAAAAAAAGTTTAGTTTAAATACTTGATGGTTGACTTGTGTAACAAGCTTAATGTTAGGCAGTAGTGTGTAAAGACCTAGTTTTGTTTTAGTTTTTTTTTATTTTTGTAACTATGAAGCTCTGTGGCTGCTGCAATAGTACAAAAATTTTGTTTTTATAGCAATTAGGCTCTAAGGCTGCAGTAGTACAAAGATTTTGTTTTTATAATGTTTTTGTAGCAAGTAGCAGTACAAGAACCTTGGCAGTTAGGCTTTATAGCTGCAGTAGCAGTGCAAAGACCTTGTTTTAGGCTCTATAGCTATTATAATAATGTATAAACCTTTGCTAAATAGGTTGCAGATTCCATAGCTGAAATAATAGTGCAGTGTATTTAAAAACCTAGTTTACTTCTAGTTACCATAACTAAATCCTGTATATGCATAAACTTTACTGATATTGATTATTTTGCATTTAATGTATAGTCCAATTAATTGAGATTTTGTGAAAAATACATCACTAAAAATACTATATGAATCATAATTTTATCAGTGCTAAAATAATTTCATCATCAATTTATAGTAGCTGCATAGCATATGTGCCATGCAGGATCATTATAATCACATATCTAGATATTTTACATTTATATGATAAACATTTAATCCATACTCTGAGTAGATTATATAGTAAAAGGTGTATTATCTAGGGTATTAGTAAAGAGAATATATTAACCTATTATGACAAAACTTCTATATCTTTAATTATAGTAATACAAAAATTCTAGGCTAAAGACTCTAAAATTCTTAGTCCAGTCCTAATACAGTTACAGGATTCTGAAATATAACAAATGCACTATGCAATAGTTATGCTAAAATCAGGAATGTAATGCAATTAAATATAATCAAGAATATGCCTTGTGCAAGATAATAAATTTCATAAATTATTACTGTCAAGGAAAACTTCAACCTGGAAATTTAAATTTATTATTATTATAGCAGAAATAGATGATATAGAATATCACAAAATATATGAGAATATTCTATAGAATAGGTGGGCAAACTCCACCAACTCCACAACTCTGATATTAAAAAATTAATGATTACTAATCATTAGTAAAACTTATTTCTTATATTGCCCACCTATTCTATAGAACATCAAAATTGACAAAAGATTATTGATTAGTGCATTTATATTTATGCAATAATTTTTTTAGTTTATTTATAATAAAGCCTTTATAAATGCATATGCTTGAGACCAAATATTGAATTATAACAAAAAGTGTATTTATAGAAGTTATTTACAATAAACCAGTTTTATCAATACAATATTATGTATTAGTTTTACAATATTACCAATTTCACTAATATTACCAGTTTCACCAATATCACCAATTTACCACTTTACCATTTTTACTAATGTTACCAGTTTCACCAATATCACTAGTTTTACCAATATTACTAGTTTCACTATTTTATTTTTTTAAAATGTACTATAGTGCACCAGTTTCACCAATTTATCTGATATAATTAACTAGTTTCACCTGCAACTCTAGTAATAACCTAATTTTATTTATCTTTAAGAAATCACTATTATACTAACTTCTCTAAAACCAGAAATGATTTTGATTATTTTTAATAGTTGAGTCCTACAACCCTAATAAAACTTTTTATATACTTCTTTTTTTGTTTATTCTTTGTAGGTTTATTTTTTTTTAAAAGTACTTTATGTAAAATTAAATTGATTTAAACAACCAATCATACAAAAGTCTTTCTAGGGACATATGGATTTAGGGATGTAGCCCAAGCTAGTATCATTGTTTTGACAATAGTTTAAGCCCAGTAAACCTATGTGACACTAGTTGTCGCATGGTTTGGGTCGTCCCAAATAGTTTGGGCTACATCCCTAAGTATAGATGCTAAAATTTAATAGAGTGTACTGTATTAGATGTAGAAGCGAATTTAGGAATAAAGAATTTTGGAACTTGGAATATTTCGAAATAAGTATAAAAATCTTGTTTACATTTTTTTTTCTTTGGACTCATAGCTTCCATTTTTTTCTCTTCGTGTAGATATATTAGGTCACTAAAATCGGCGTAAATACTTGCAATAACCTCTTAGAGAGTTATTTATGTATATGTATGCAATTTGAAAAGTCTGCAGAAATTCACACGATTTTATCAAGCGCTAATAAAGGCTTATCCTATCCTGTCATGTAATCAAAATTCATGTTCAATTGCAACACATAAATATAACTTAGCAGTGAAAAAAACGCTAAACTTAGAAGAGATTTGTTTGATATTAAACTGGTTTACATTATACTATATACTATCTGAAAAGGTTAGTATATAATAAGTTAAAATATCGATATTCTGTATTTTACTATTTTAATGAAATAAATAAATAAAACATAAAATATGTAATAAAACAAGACTCAAACCAGTTTATAAAATTCTTTCAATATAGCGACAGTGAAATAATAATATGCATTATTGTGAATTTTTATATATTAGTAACTCCAATATCTTTATAGCGATAACAAGAGTGATTAGTTTTTTTTTTTTGATGGCTAATAGTAACAAAAATATGTTATTTGACAGCATTTTTGCTGAAACTCATAAAGAATTGGAATGTTTAAACGATGAAATTTCTAAACTTCAGGATGTTTATTTAACAAATGATGATAATTCAGATGAAGAGTCTGATAACGAAACTAATGAATTTAGTATGAATAAAACTAGTGAACCTTCTTCAGCGTCGTTAGTCGTATATATTGATCATTTTTTTACTGCTTGTCAAGTTGAATATTTTCATAAGATATATACACTTCATCCAATGCATATGATAATGAAAGATGAAAAAATTCATGATAAGAGATCAGATAAGCGTGATGATGATGCATTTTTAACGAAACTAAACCAATTTTGCTGTTGCGTGGAAAGGTGCCTTTTAAATGTTAATCACCAAGCAGCACTTGAAAGGTTTCAACAAATGAAAGCAATGTTACAGAATGAATCGAAATTGTGTTTTCTCGGAATCATTGATGCTAGTATGAATGCAACAGAATTTAAAAATGGAACACAAAAAGCATATCTAACAACGAATTATAAATTTGAAGGTGTTAAGATTTGTCAGAAAGCTTGGTTTATAATATATGACATTCAAAAAAGAAGATGGGAGAATTTACGTTTACATTATCAAAGTTTTGGTCTTACACCAAAAGTTCACAGTTTAACTGGGCGTGTTAGCAATTATGCTATTTCTTTTTCAACAGTTTTGAATGTGCTCAAATTTATTATAAATTTTACCAATCAACACGGACTTCCATCACCTGGTAAAGTAATTAAGTGATAAATTACAGTTAAAGGGTATAAATTTCATAGTAAAAATCGGCGAAAATTACTATTACTTTCATATAATATTGGAATGCCGAAAAATTTTGGAATATGTAAAAATCATATAATTATGAAAGAGCAGCGCCAATACTCGACCAATTTTAATAATTCTACCACTACTAGAACTAGGGCCTGGGTAGTAACCATACCCTTACCTTACCCTTGATATACCCCAAGCCTAAAATTTAATATCCTAACCCGGCCCTCAAAATTATAGACAACCCGCAGGTTATCCATAGAAATAATTGAATCAAAAATTTTCAAAATTTAGTTTATGATTATGCATTTGTTTATTAATAATCGGTCAATTTATACATACTTTTTATTTTATTTCTAAATTGATTACTTTATTCTTATTAATAATTCATCTTAGCATATCATGTCTCATTTTCATTTACTTTAATTATCCATTTATTTTTATGATGGTACTTGGTGACATTCATATATTACGGGTACCCATCAATACCCTGAGCTATATATTAATACTACTCTGATCCTACCTGTCTATATGTATAAGGGCTTGATGTTTCAGGTCCGGCCCTTACCCTGGATCCAACAATTAATATCCTAATCCAGTCCCCCAACAGGACTACCCATAGGGTATCTATGGGTAGTTTAGCTCTTTGCGAAGGCCTAACTAGAACTGAAATAATTTGTTCTATAAAATTTGTTAGAAACTTAAGGAAGGTTTACTTGACATAAA